TAAAAGCAGCAAATCATTTGCTAAGGTGCTATTCTCCCAGAGAAATAGCCAGAATCCTAGAGGGATTCTTAGCAGTGGTTGGCAACCTACTACCCAAGGGCCAAATCTGGCCCACTTCCTGTTTTTGTATAACAGGAAGCTAAAAATGATATGTACATATTTTAAGAGTTGGAAAAAAATAAAATGAAGAATAATGTTTCATGATATATGAAATTCAGATTTCAGTGTCTATAAATGAAATTGCACTGAAACACACCCATTCATTTGTGTATTGTCTCTGGATGCTCACATGCTACAATGGCAGAAGTGAGCAGTTGCTACGGAGACTACATGGTCCACAAAGCCTATTACGTTTGCTGTCTGGCCTTGACAAAGTTTGCCGTCCCCTAGTGTAGAGCACAGACTCCAGAGCCAAGATGGCCTGGCAGCCTAGCTCAGCTCTGTGTTCCTTCCACTTGGGCAAATTGTCTCATCTACTCTGTTTCCTCAACTGTGTAATAAGGATGATAATACCATCTATTTCATGGGATTCCATGAGGATTAAGCAAATATATAAAGTGTTAGAAGAGGATCTGGCACATATTAAATATTATATGTGCCTGTTGTTATTATTAGTTGCCACAATTTTTTTCATAAATGAAAGGAGGAGCAGCTTACAAATTTGTTACAGTAATTTAAAGAATTTTAAGGATTTCACCTGCAGCACTCCATTTAATTCTTTAGCAGTAGAGTAGTAGGAAGAAGTCTAAAGATGACTAAAATGACAATTAGCATAGTTACTTATCCATAAAGCTCATCCTGCATACCTACAAATATTTTATATGCTATATGCTCTTTCAAACTTGAGTCTTGAGAGAGTTTACACTCAACTTTGAGTTCAGTCCTCCCGATCTATTCTTTCAAAGCAGAGGTCAAGTAACAGAATAGAGAGCCCCCAAATAAATCAATGCATATACAATTAACTGATCTCCCACGAGAATGCCAAAAATACACAACTGAGAAAGGATGGTCTCTTCAACAAATGGTGTTGGGAAAACCAGATATCCCCACACAAAAGAATAAAATTGGACTCTTATCTTACAGTATACATAAAAATCAACTTAAAATGGATTAGACTTAATATAAGACTAAAACTATAAAACTCCTAGAAGAAAACAGGGGAAAATCTTCATGACATTGGTCTTGGCAATGACTTCATGGCTACGACACCAAAGGCAGAGGCAACAAAAACAAAAACAAGTAGGACTACAGCATACTAAAAAGCTTCACACAGCAAAGGAAACAACATGGAATGGGAGAAAAAAATTGCAAACCATATACCTGATTAGGAGTTAGTCTGCAAAATATATAAGGAACTCCTACAACTCGATAGCAAAAAAATAATAACCCAATTTAAAAATGGGCTAGAGAGGCCAACAGAAACACGAAAAGATGCTCGACATCGGGCGCCTGGGTGGCTCAGTTGGTTAAGCGACTGCCTTCAGCTCAGGTCATGATCCCAGGGTCCTGGGATCCAGCCCCGCATCAGGCTCCCTGCTCTGCAGGGAGCCTGCTTCTCCCTCTCCCACTCCCCCTGCTTGTGTTCCCTCTCTCGCGGTGTCTCTCTCTGTCAAATAAATAAATAAAATCTTTAAAAAAAAAAAAAAAAGATGCTCGACATCACTGATCATCAGGGAAATGCAAATCAAAACCACAATGAGTTATTACTTCACACCTATCATAATGGCTAAAATCAAATGGAAGAAACAGGAGCACCTGAGTGGTTAAGTGTCCAACTCTTGATTTTAGCTCAGTTCATGATCTCAGGGTCATGAGATGGAGCTCTGTGTTGGGCTGCATGCTTAAGATTCTCCCTCTCCCTCTGCCCTTCCTCCCCTGTTTGCGTGTATTCTCTCTCAAAACAAAAACACAAGAAACAAGTGTTAGCAAGGATGTGGAGAAAAAGGTACCCTCTTGCACTGTTGGTGGGAATGTAAACTGGTGCAGCCACTATGAAAAACAGTATGGAGTTTCCTCAAAAACTTAAAAATAGAATTACCATCTGATCCAATAACTCCAGTACTGGGTATTTATCCAAAGAATACAAAAACACTAATTTGAAAAGATACTTGCACCCCTTTGTTTATTGCAGCATTATTTATGATAGCCAAATTATGGAAGCAACCCAAGTGTCCATAGAAGGATGAATGGATAAAGAAGAAGTGAGATATAGATACAGATATAGACATATCGTGGAATAACTTAGCCATAAAATAAAATGAAATCTTGCCATTTGCAATGACATAGATGATGCTACAGGGTATTATGCCAAGCAAAATAAATCAGTCAGAGAAAGACACATACCATATGATTTCACTCATGTGGAATTTAAGAAACAAAACAAACAAACAAAGAAAAAAAGAGACAAACCAAAAAATAGACTCTTAAGTATAGAGAACAAACTGATGTTTACCAGAGGGGAGGTGGGTGGGGGCATGGCTGAAATAGGTGAAGGTGATTAAGAATACACTTATCCTGAGGAGCACTGAATTATATATAGAGAGAGATTGCTGAATCACTATATTGTACACCTGACACTAATATAAACTAATTTAAGTATACTGGAATTAAAATTACAAAAGCATTTAATGGGCTAAAGCATTAAATAAATATTTCTCCAAAGAAGATATACAAATGGCCAACAAGTATATGAAAAAATACTTAATGTTATTAATTACCAGGAAATACAAATCAAAACCACACTGAGTTATCACCTCACACCTATCAGGGTTACTATTATAAAAACAACAACAACAAAAAAACAACAGACAATAAATGTTGTAAGTATGTGGAAAAATTGGAATTCTTGCATATTGTTGGTGGGAATGCAAAATGGTGTAGCCACCATGGAAAATAGTATAGAGGTTCCTCAATTAAATTAAATTTAAATTTGAAATAAAACTACTATATGATCCAGCAGTCCCATTTCTGGGCATATATGCAAAAGAACGGAAAATGAGATCTCAAAGAGCTATTTACACAGCCATGTTCATTGGAGCATTTTTCACAAAAACCAAGGTGCAGAAGCAACCCAAATGTCCATCTATGGATGAATGGATTAAAAATGTGGCATATACATACAATAGAACTGTATCCAGATTTAAGAAGGAAGTCTTGTCACATGCTACAACATGGATAAATTTCAAGGACATTATGCCAAGTGAAATAAGTCAATCACACAAAGACAAATACTGCATTATTGTAATTATATGACGTATCTGAAGTAATCAAGTTCATAGAAACACAAGTAGAATACTGGTTGCTAGGGGCTGGAGGTTAGGAGTAAATGGAGAGTAGTTGTTCAAGGGGTATAGATTTTCAGTCACACAAGATAAAAAGTCCTAGAGACCTGTTGTACCACACTGTGCATACAGTCAACAATATCATATTGTACTCTTAAAAATTTGTTAAGAGGGTAGACCTCATGTTCATTGTTCTCATCACAAAAAAAAAAAGAAAAAAAGAAGTAGGGAAAAAAAAAAAAACAAAACCCACAGAGGCCAAAGGGCTCATAAAATGTCTAAATCTACCTTGATAATTGCTTTGGTATTTGAAAACAATAATCTACTTCCTAATTAAAACATAAGACAGGTAATCTATAGCTTTTTGATATGTAACAACAGGGACTATTAAAATTGTTCTCACAAGCCAGGACTTTCATTTTTGGAGTCTGATTATCCAAAATGAGGACTTGGAAGGGAGTTACGCATAAGAGAAAAACAATGACCTTAGTGGGAACACAGCCCAGGAACGTGGAACAGAGGAACCGTGTCCCCCACGGTGAACAAGCGCATCACCACACTCTGCAGGTGCTCCAATATTTGTTAGATGTTGATGACTTTCAATTTTACTGTGCAACCGCCAGAGCAAATACCGTGAATGTTGCTCCTCAGTGCATTTCTTAAAACGGATAAATTTCAGAAACAAACATCCTTTATGACTGAAATGACATGGAACAAAACCAAACGAAAATCTGAATTTTCCTGAATTGCTCTCATCAGACTGTTCAACCAGGTGAAAAAGAAAAATGCAGAGAACCATTTTCTGAATCTAAGGGAATAGTTCTAACCTCTCACTTTCCTGAATACTGAGCAGCACGTTCTTAGCAATGAACTTATCTTGTATAAAAAGGAGCCGAGTAGGGCGCCTGGGTGGCTCAGTCGGTTAAGCGACTGCCTTCGGCTCAGGTCATGATCCTGGAGTCCCAGGATTGAGTCCCGCATCGGGCTCCCTGCTCGGCGGGGAGTCTGCTTCTCCCTCTGACCCTCCTCTATCTCATTCTCTCTCTCAAATAAATAAATAAAATCTTTAAAAAAAAAAAAAAAAAAAAAAAAGGAGCCGAGTAATTTTGGAGAGAGCGATGGTTTCGCCTGAATCATCGAGATAAGTCAAACAACTCATTTTCTAAGAACCCGGGCGGGGTTGCCCTGCCAGGAAATGCCCTCTGTCCTCCCCAGGCCACATCACGCCCAGCTTAACCAGGAGTTGACCGTGTCCCCCAGCGAGGAAACACCCGGTGCCGTTCAGTGAAACGTGCAACCGCAAGCCAAACGCTCTTTCGCACACAGTTCCTGAAGTTTATTCCTGTTTTCCAAGGGCGTTTGCATATTTTTGATTTTTCCACGTCTCCTTCCCTCAAAGGCATCTAAGAGCGGCCCTACTGCATTCAGCCCCCTTCCTCGCAAAACCGCAGCCAACTTAGAGCCGGGCGGCCCTGACCAGTAAAGTTGTCTAAATGTTTAAAAGTATCGGAATAGAGCGGAGTAGGAAGCCATAAAGAATCCCCGGGGCACCGTACCGGCGTTGGAACGTGCCATTCGTGCCGCGGGGAGGAAAGTCACCGCTGGGCACCGCGTCGCAGGTCCCAGGCGCCTGCGGCAGCCGGGCTTGCGCACGACCTGGGCCCAGAAGGCGCAGAGGCTCGCCGAGCGCACGCAGGGGGCCGAGGCCCGAGCGCAGCGCGGCGCGGGGGGCGACTCGGGCGCGCGTCCCCCGCCGCCCGCGTGGTGTGCTCCGGCGCGGCCCCGGCGGGAGGGCGGCGGTGGCGGCGACGGCGCAGTCTGCACCATGGCGTACCCGGGGCACCCTGGCGCCGGCGGCGGGTACTACCCAGGCGGGGTAAGTGCAGCCCGCGCGGGCTCGCGGCCCGGGCGCGACCCTGGGACACCGAGCACGCCGAGAGGCCACACTGGGCCGCTCCGCCGGGGCGGCTCCCCGGGCGCCTCCCGCCCCCGGCTTCGCCCCTGGCCCCTGCCCTTCGGCCTCATCCTGGGGCTCCCTCCGCTCAGTCCCTTCGCCCTGCGGGCGGCTGCGTGGGGCCAAAGCGCGGGTGGGTTCTGACCCGAGAAGCCCACCCTGTGCCTGGGATGCGCGGCGTGAAATTGTGCGAATTGGGGATTGGCTTCCTCCCCCTCCCGGTTTCCCGTGAGAGCAACAGCCATTTTAATCTCGAATGGTGCGGAGATCCACCTCCCCTCTTTAAAAGCAAGTGAGAGGAAAAAAAAAAAGTCGGGAAAGACCGCGGGGGCGGGGGGGAGCCCTCCGGGAGGAAGACCACCTCTCCAGGAGCCGGGGATACGCGTCGTCGTGGGAACTTTTCCGAGACGGAATGTTCCTTCTGCGCGCCTCCCCGCCCAGGTGCTCGCCGCCGCATAGTCCAGCCGAGACACCTAAGCCCGGCCGGGGCTACACCTGTCTCAGAACGCTTTGGAAAATAGCACAAATGCTGTGAAAGTAAAAGGAAAACAATTCCGAGCCCTGCGCTTAAGTTGCTTCACTTATGTAGATGTCACTTTCAGGACCACCCATTTTGGTTCAAGCTGCTAGTTTTTTCTAAATTCTGCTGGGGTGGGAATGGAAGAGAAGGGGGGGAATGATTGCCGTTAAAGCGTGCCCGGTGGTGGGGAGGTGAACCATCCGTGCGAAGGGCGGGCAGTTGCCTGGCTTTGCACAAAAGCATGCAGTGGTGAAAGAATAAAACTGGAATTCAGCGGAATGATGCTTTTGTGTTTGTTTTACAGTATGGAGGGGCCCCCGGAGGACCTACTTTTCCCGGACAGACTCAGGATCCGCTCTATGGTTACTTTGCTGCTGTAGCTGGACAGGTTAGCTTTTCCCCTTAATATTAAAGAATTGTCAGTCTACGTTTGTATTAGCTACTGTTAGAGTGGGATGGAAAAAAGAACTTTTCCTCTGGAAAAAAATGCCTTTGTTTCTGTAAATGAAAAAGGAGAGAAGGAAATGTATAGTCAGTTATTTATTTCTGAATATTCCGAACAAATTAGGACTGTTACCTGTATTTATGTAGGTTCACTTCAAAACTAAATTTGTGACTGAATTAGGGTCTGGTTAAATAAGAATGGGGGGCTGTAAATATACTGTGAAGATCTGTAAAGTAGAAAGATGTTTTTAGAACTATGAATTGTCAGGGTCCGTAGTGGTTTCCAGAGAAGAAATTCCAGATCTGGTGAACACCTAAACCTTTGTTTGTACTACTTAAAGACACATACCAGTAATTATGTAGTCAGATTCTAATGGACGCTTTCTTTGGGTTGAATCTGATTGTTAATCAGTTACCCCCTAGGAAATAGGTACTTATGTTAAAAACTTACCAGCTTCATAATAACAAAGTTACTGCTCCTTTAGTATCAGGAAGTTAATCTTGTGGACAGTTTAGTTTCTCTTTGATGCTGATGCTGTTCTGGGTCAGCTCTTCATGTCCTTATAAGGTGTGGTGGCCTGCTGACCGAGAGAGAATGAAGGTTCCCTCCCTCTGGAGAACTTGCAGTTCTCCACCTTGAGTTGTAGGACAGGTGGTGGTGTACATTGGTGTACATGGTAAATCCACTGCTGGTATGACCCATTCCAGAAGCGATGTTTGCCCTTATGAATTCGAGTTAGCTTTGTGTTGAACAAAAGCAAGAAATAACACAATCTTCATGTGAAGATGTTGTCCACTATTATGGGATAAAAACCCAAGACCACCTTTCAGAATAGCATTCTAAGAAATGTAGTTCAAGAAATTGAGTGGAAAATTGAGTCTAAAACTGAAAGAGCTTCCCTTTAAGTATCTGCTTCATCTGTGAACGATCTGTATCTTTGAAACCACAAGACAGGGCAAAGCTCAAGACTTGAGTTCTTAGATTGCCTTGCCTCCCGCCCTGTAAGTGACCCCACCTGCTTAGCTTGCAGCGGTCCCGGCCTACATCAGCATATCCATTGTCTTTCAAATTATTGATCCTGCTCCTCACTTAGAATTGAAGATTTGGGTATTTTATTTGTAAATCCCTAAAAATAACATCTATCTGGTTCTGAACTTGGTCAGCCAATAAATAGGCCCTGGGAACCTGTATCTTCCAGATATAATTGTGGTTCTGGAAAAACCATTCACCACAGGTGATCACGAAGGCCTCTCTTTGTTTCATCCAAGCGTATTATTTACGAATGCCAGCTCTGTACCCTGTTCTGCCCTCCCTCCCACCCCCCCAACAACCAAAAGCTAGAAAGAGGAATAAGACTTTAAGCAACTATATAAATAATTTTAAGTGCTTAACGGGCAGTTTCCTAGCTCAGACTAAAAGAAGAGTAAGTTCAAGACAGAAACTAGTTTTATTTGTACATTAAAAAATATGTATCATTGAAGAAACTGAATTCACCTCAGTGTTTTATTGAAAAGAGGAACCTTGTACTTGAAAATTTAATGCCAAGGGTGCCTGGGTGGCTCAGTTGGTTAAGCGACTGCCTTCAGCTCAGGTCATGATCCTGGAGTCCCGGGATCGAGTCCCACGTCAGGCTCCCTACTCAGCAGGGAGTCTGCTTCTCCCTCTGACCTTCCTCCTCTCATGTGCTCTCTCTCTCTCTCTCATTCTCGCTCTCTCAAATAAATAAATAAATAAATAAAATCTTTAAAAAAAAAAAAAGAAAATTTAATGCCAAATCTAATCGAGGAATTTAGAGGAAAGGATGAAAGATACTGGTAATACTAAAGTATAGGTGTAAGCGGCTTTCCGACTTTGTGAATTCTTATGTAATAATTATTTAAAATAGAGTCTGAGGGCGCCTGGGTGGCTCAGTCGTTAAGCGTCTGCCTTCTGCTCAGGTCATGATCCTAGAGTCCCGGGATCGAGTCCCGCATCGGGCTCCCTGCTCGGCGGGGAGTCTCCTTCTCCCTCTGACCCTCCCCCCTCTCATGGGCTCTCTCTCATTCTCTCTCTCTCAAATAAATAAATAAAAATCTTTAAAAAAAATAAAAAATAATAATAATAATAAAAAATAAATAAAATAGTCTGAAATTGAATGCCGACTTTACTTAGGTATCGAGAAATGTATTTTTTGTTTATGGCCCTAATTATGCATTTGTGGAAGAGGACTTAACGATTTGTTTTTCTTTCATTAAATTATTTTTGAAAGTAGAACTGGGAAAGGAATACCTGTTTTTGGAAGGCATTCCTTTTAAAAAAAAAAAGTCTCATGCATGAAAATGTTCATTTTCTTTGTCATTATTGCTGAAATAATATACTGAAAGCAAACAAAAAACTAGAAGGTACAAAGCACTATTATGATTCCTCTTCCCTTTATTTTCCCCCCCAAAAGGATGGGCAAATAGATGCTGATGAATTGCAGAGATGCCTGACCCAGTCAGGCATTGCTGGAGGATACAAACGTGAGTTGACAGTCCCAGAGTTTCTCTAGAAGTACTCTTGTGTTTCATATTTTAACTGTTACTTAGGATGATAACCTTCAAGGACACTGCGCTTTTCTGATCTAGCAAAAATTAGAATTTCCAAAGCTAATTTCGGTTGTTTATTATTACAAGATGTTAACTTGAAAACAGTTGTTAATAAGTCACGCCACACTACCTGCCTGCCAGTTGAGTGGGTCTCTTGGATTGGGAACGCGTGGAAGCCATGAGATAGTCTCTGTGGCCTCCCTCACAGAGGACGAGGTAAGGTGCTGAAATGAAATCCACCAGGTCAGGTGTCATCAATGACAGGAGCGGACATTTACAGCTATTTGCCAAAAGTTGACTCTGTCCTGAGCCTCCTGGCATTTAGGGTTTTGGGTGACTGGTCCTGTGCAGCTGGTCCCTGAGGAACCTGCCCTGCACGCCTAGTTCTGAGTGTTTGGTCCTGACCCCCTTCCCCGCAGTGGCTGGTCCCCACCCCTGGTCCTTAGGGAGCCACTTTGCACTCCTGCTCTCTGAGTATGCTGCTGGCAATGTGAATGCTTGTCGTGACACCCCCCAGGGCTTGCTTCATTTCTCTTTCCACTTCAGAGAACGTGTGCAGGCTAAGTCGGAAGTACCCTTCCTAATTTCCAAACTCTTTGCACTAGTCTTCCTTCTCCTTTCCTCCTCAGTTCCTCACAGCCTAGATCTGCTGCACTTACATCACCTTCTTGCCTTTTGAAAGAGCTCTTTGCCCTGAGTTGCAGAGGTGCTGCATCCGGACGGGACTTTTCATCGTCCCACACACTACCACATGCTGCTTTTCAAATCAGATCTTGACCATGACAAACAACGCAAGGTAGAGAATAGTGTTTTGACTTGCCAACTTAGCCAGTGGTTAATTGAGACAGAACATCACCTCAAAGCCTTAGCTGTTGGTAAACTGTGGATTAAAATGCTCAGACCAGAAGTCACACCTGAAGATTTATAGTGGCATCTTTTAACTGTTTGACATGGCTGACTTACTAGATGGCTCTCTTTTTAAACTATTTGCATTTATATTTCAATCATCCTTTCTTTTATGTGACTTCAATATCCTATTAATATTTCCTAGTTGGAGAAATTAATATGAAAGAGGAACTTTGCATTTCTCATTTAATTTGGTCCTTTAAAAAAGAAGCACTTTCTAGATAAGGGATTTTTTTTTTTTCCTGCTGTAGAAAATACATTTAAATTGTTCATTGTTAACCTCAAGCAGTTGGGGCTAGTGAACAAAGAATTCTGGTTTAATAGCAGGGTTTATGAAAATGAGCTATGTCCCAACATAAACTATTATTTTGTACCCTTTTGATAGAAGAGGTGTGGCAGGTTTTAAAATCTAACAAATGGGTTGAGTCCTTTTAAACATTTCATATGAGGAAATCATGGTTAGTGATGGTCTTAGATCACTGAGTTCTAGGGAAGACATTTCCTGAGTCATCAGAACCATGGGATTGAATTTATTTGCTTATTGTCATCTGGTTGTGGAGGCTGTAATGAACCACAAAACCATCCTGCTTGTGAGGAGTCACGGTGAGTTTTATAATACAGAAGTTACACAACCATTGGTGTTTTTTAAACCCAGCTTCCAAACCAAAAAGCACAGATGGAGGTGAGGTGAGGGGCAGAGGGATATTCCAACCTAGTACCTACAGGCAGCTTCTCCAGGTTAAAAGGAAGCAGTCATACCCAGAGGTGGAGTTGATAGGATCACTTTTGTTCACTGTGCATCTCATTCCCTCTCTTAAATCCTTCTCACAAAAGATGACCAGATTCCTGGGCTTCCTGGCACCACTGGACGTGGTGCTGTGCATAGCCCTGGGACACAGGGCAGGTGTTTGCTTCATGGCCCCTCAAAACCCTTGATTTAAAGTCAAACACAGGTGGGTGTGCCTAGTGTCTGTCAGGCCCTCCCGAGCACTGGTTCTTCAACTTCAGTGGCATCAGCATCACTGGATTGCAGAGCCCTGTCCTAGAATTTTTCATTCAGAAGGTGTGAGGTAAGACCTGAGAATTTGCATCTCTGACAAGCTTCCAGATGATGGTGGTCCCAATTGACTAGCTTGTCTGTATGTGAATATAAATCACCTGGGGATTGTATTAAAATGCAGATTCTGATTTTGTTGGTTAAGGGCTGAGATTATGCAGCTCTAAAAGTTCCTAGATGATATTAACATGGCTGGTCCAGGAATTACACTTTGGGAAGCATCCTTGGCTGCTCACTGGAATCATTTGAGAAGCTTTAAAAAAACAGTCACGCCTGGGTTCCAGGCTCAAATATTTTGATTGAATTGTTCTGTGATGATGATGACTATATGTAACACTGTGTTGTGTACTTGAAAATGGCTACGAGAGTCGATCTTAAAAGTTCTCATCACACACGTGAAAAAGTTAACTGTGTGGGGTGATGGATGTTTTAACCAACCTAATTGTGGTTATCATTTTGCAGTATATATGTATATCAAATCATTACATTGTATACCTTAAACTTCCGCAATGTTATCTGTCAATTATAGCTCAGTAAAGCGGGGGGGAAAAGAAATTGTTCCGAGGTGCAGCCCCGGTTATCAGGATCTTTTATTTTATTTTATTTTATTTTATTTTATTTTATTTTTTAAAGATTTTATTTATTTATTCATGAGAGACAGAGAGAGAGAGGCAGAGGGAGAAGCAGGCTCCCAAGGAGCAGAGAGCCCGATGCGGGACTCGATCCCAGGACCCTGGGATCATGACCTGAGCCAAAGGCAGACGCTTAACCATCTGAGCCACCCAGGCGCCCTATCAGGATCTTTTAAAGCCTCTGGGTGATTCTAATAAGCATCCAGGGCTGAGAACCATTGGTCTGGATTAAAGAGACTTCATACCTCCACACAACTTAAAAGAATGAAGAATCAACCAACTCTTTCTCAAAAGTGTGGAAAAGTGTTGGCTCCTGTCACTTCAGAGAACTGTATCTGTGGATTAGATGGAGTCTGAAGGGCCAAAATAGAAATAGTTCCCCACCTTTTATCTCAGGTTCCAGGATATGCGAAACACAGTAATCTGTTAAAAGTGGAAAACCTATAGTTTGTACGGTCTGGAGACATTACAGTACTAAGAGCTCAGATGTGTCTTAAATTCAGTTTGGTTGGAGATAAATATGAAGCTAGTAAGAGCTATAAAATTGTTAGTTCTGTGTGCCTTTTCACACACCTGCAGAATTTATGCCAGCTTCGCCCACGTGACCCTGGTCACTTCTGCCTTCTAGCCTTATATCTTCTTTGTATCTAAATATTTCCCCAGTCGGGGCGCCTGGGTGGCTCAGATGGTTAAGCGTCTGCCTTCGGCTCAGGTCATGATCCCAGGGTCCTGGGATCGAGTCCCACATCGGGCTCTCGGCTCAGCGGGGAGCCTGCTTCTCCCTCTGACCCTCTTCCTTCTCATGCTGTTTCTCTTTTGCTCGCTCTCTAAAAAATAAATAAAATCTTATAAATAAATAAATATTTCCCCAGTCATCAGTTCCCATGAACACAATGCAAGATGCAAGGAATTCTTTATTTGGAATTTGCTAATGCTTAGGTAGATCATCAGTAGGCCCATTAACCAATAAGTATATTCTACTTTGGTTTTCTAAGTGAGCTATAGAAATTCCCTCGGAATACGCTTGAGCTGTACATAACCTCAAAAGGCTTCTGAACAGTGGCCACCCCTGAACTGGTCATCGTATCTTCCTCCAGCGTGCTCTTATTTAGCACAGTTCTGGCAAGCATATCTATCTGGTTTCATATATAAACTTACTGTATGTGAAAACAGGTCATAGGCTCTTCGAGGTAGGAGGTTACCATTCAGTGTGTGACATTAAAGGGGAAAGAAAGATACATGAACTAATGTAATAGAATTAGCAAAACCAGCTATTTATAGCCTGTTAGGAGTAGGAACGAAGTAGCCCTATCTTCCGACTCACCATGGTGAATTGAATTCAGTATATTACAGTTTCAAAGGCAAGAAGATATATAAAACTTCAGAAAGATTATATTATAGAAAATGTTACGTGTATCCAAGAACAGAGATAATGATGCGGTGAACTTCTATGCACCTGTCACCCAGCTTCACCAGTTAGCAGTGTGTTACCATTCTTAGTTCATCTGTAATCCTGTCCATTTTCTTTTGGAGCAAACTCTAGATATCTTAACATCCCCCGCCCCCAACTTCAAAACCATTATCTACCTAAAAATATTAACAGTACAATATAATACTTTTTTAAAAGATTTCTATTAAAGTTGTTAAAATTAAATTGGGTTCTACAAGGAATCCTCTCTATCTGGAAAAAATCTTCAGAGCTCCATGTAATTTAGTTCCACATAAATTGAATAGCATATAAAAGTAGGAGTGTATAAATACTTTTCTAATTAATTTGAATATATGCAATGTAATGTGAATTTTTGAAACTTGTATTGATATGCATGTACTTTTCTTAACAGCTTTTAACCTGGAGACTTGTCGGCTTATGGTTTCAATGCTGGATGTATCCTTTACCTTGATTGCTGTCTGGAGGGTTTTTTCCTGATCAAAAAAAAAAAAAAAAAAATTTTCTTCTTAAAAGAATTCATCTAAGAATTAATATCCAGTAAACACAAGGTGACAAATGACCACAAAAAAAGTTTTCTGAAATTATTAGCTTTTAAGATGTAACTTGGTGTGAAAAAGGAAGGGAGCTTAGTAAATCGAACATTGGTTATTCAAGAATTCATGGAAGCATCGAAGGAGGGCAAGTATAGAAATCAGGGTGGCAGGGAAGTTTTTGTGCCTTGTCGTCGTTTGCTCTGCATGATTCACACCTGACCTTCAAGCAATGGACTTTTTCACATCACAGTTGTTAGACTTGGTTTAGCTGGTGCTGACCTGCACTGCCTTCCATCCCATCTCTTTTCCAAAAGTGAAAACCCTGGGTGTGGAAGGGCCTACCAAAAGGGAATGTTAGGGTGAAGATCCCCCAGCACCCAGCAGCATAGCCCGGGGCCCCCAGAAAGTACAGCCCAGTTCCAGAAACGAGTGCTTTTCACTGGTCGCTCACCCGTGGCCACCTTCCTTCCTTGTAATCACATCACATCGCTTCTCTTCCCACAGCGAAAATACGTCCCCAGAGCTTTTTCTCCATAGGCCCTTTTCATTACATCACACTAAGAAGAACATACAACATTTTTAACGTTTTTAGCCAAAAGAACATTAAATTCCTTTATCCTTCATCTTTGATTTATTTGTTAGAAAATGTTGCAAATGACTGGGTGATAGACACTGGGGGAGGGTATGTGCTCTGGTAAGCGCTGTGAATTGTGCAAGACTGTTGAGTCTCAGATCTGTACCTCTGAAACAAATAATGCAATATATGTTAAGGGGAAAAAAAGAAGAAGAAGAAGGTAGCGGGAGGGGAAGAATGAAGCGGGGGAAATCAGAGGGGTGGATGAATCATGAGAGACGATGGACTCTGAAAAACAAACTGAGGGTTCTAGAGGGGAGGGTGTGGGGGCATGGGTTAGCCTGGTGGTGGGTATTGAGGAGGGCACATTCTGCATGGAGCACTGGGTGTTATGCACAAACAATGAATCATGGAACACTTCATCTAAAACTAATGATGTAATGTATGGGGATTAACATAAGAAAAAAAAAGAAAATGTTGCAAAATAAAGAAGCTCTAATCCTTGATGACAGTTCAGAGAGATATGTCAGGCACAATGGGTTTCAATGAATTTAAAGAACTCTGGGCTGTGCTGAATGGCTGGAGACAGCACTTCATCAGTTTCGACAGCGACAGGAGTGGCACGGTGGACCCTCAGGAGCTGCAGAAGGCCCTCACCACAATGGGTGGGTACGGCCGACTCCAGCCACCTGGCCGACGTTCTTTTTCATTTCTGAAACTGTTACATGAAGGCAGTTTCTGTTGTCTAGAAGCCGTGTATATTCATAACCAAACACATATAATGCCTAGTGCATAGTCACAATTAAAATGAGTACTCCCAGGCTGAAAGAATTGGGATTATTTTTAATGGTCTTTTGTTACCCTTCAACTGTTTCCTTAGGCTTTCGACTGAGTCCCCAGGCTGTGAATTCAATTGCAAAACGCTACAGCACCAATGGCAAGATTACCTTCGACGACTACATCGCCTGCTGTGTCAAACTGCGAGCCCTGACAGGTGTGTTCTTCGAGGTGATGTCGGCAGGGCCAGGAACACACAGTTCGTGTGACGTGTCATTTTCAGTGTTTCTGAACTTCTGTTGTCCGCGATTTCTCTCGCTTCCCCTAACTTCAGGGGCTTTCTAAACACTGCTATTAAACGTATCTAGCAGAATAATTGTGTTTTTTCAGAAATCCTTTCAGATTAGTGGTAAGTTGCTTTTAAAATAATCTTAACTAAATTTCACAAAAACGTTCCAAAACGTGATCACCTAACTTGTGCACTTTTGGTCAGAGTATGAGCGGTTCTGTGACTTCTCCCTAGAATGTAAACTATTTGAAGAGAGCGAAATTACTCATTTGTAGCTCTCTCTCCTAAGTCCTCCTGTTGGAAAGTAATTTAAAATGGTCATTTGTTTCAGAGGTATGGACTTCTTAGATGAGGGTATATGAGTAATCTCTATTTTCTATGCCCTCTTTTCTTTTTCTTTCTTTTGTATATTTTTCTTGTTCCATCCCTCTCTTTAGTCTTTTTCTGTCTCTTTCTTTTTTAAAGTAGGCTCCATGCTATGTGTGGAGCGAGGCTTGAACTCATGGCCCTGAGAGCAAGGGTCAGACACTTAACCAACTGAGCCACCCAGGCGCCCCAATCTTTTACTCTTTTTAATACCTGGGTTTGTAATTTTTTTGCATCCTAACAAAAATATGAGGGCAGATTTTTTGTTGTTTTTATTTAAGTAAATCCTTTTCAGTAGCACAGAGCTCAGATAGGTGGAATATTTGATTATAGCCCATTTGCCATATTAGGGACTCTGTCCATCCATTTCCTAATTAAACACTATCTGTGTGATAAAGAAGTTTGAAATTCTGTGTCTTCATTTCAACTTAGTAATGGCCTCAGAAGTCACATGGCTTTTACTGACTTTGGGATAAGGTGCTTTCTTCCAGTTCCACATTGAAAAAGACAGTTGGCTGACTTCTGCATTGGTGTATTACTTTGTTGTATATTAAATCTATTCACATTCATATAGTTGCCTTCTTTGCTGTGGGCTTTTGTTTATGTTGGCTGGTTTTACAAGTTTTACAACTCAGATGTTACTGTGGTTTGAACCCAATGCCAAAATAATTACCTGTTGTGATTTCAGGTGTTAAAAAATAACCATAAATTTTACTGTGGTGTTTTACAGATAGCTTTCGAAGACGGGATACTGCTCAGCAAGGTGTTGTGAATTTCCCATATGATGATGTAAGTAAATTCAGAACTGAGTAAGATGAATAAGATGTACACCAATTGGGGATTCCCTTTTGAAGTTAGCCATTAAGAGCATCTTAAAGATGCTGTAATGAAGGATTAAATGATCAGGAGTTACCATTCAGAATTTATTAATTTCATTTATTACTAGTCTTATTCATAAACCACTATTTGATTTGCATTGAAAGACTTGGTTCAAAGCCCAGCTGGTCCCACTTCCTGTCTGGGTCACGGAGGCAGGTTTCTTCATTGCTCCAAGACTGAGGAGAGGAAGTAGTAATGCCTTCTTCCCTGGGCTCTTGGGAGATGTCAGTCAGAAATGTCCTTGGAAAACACCGTGCAGATGTTGTGTCTGTTTTTGCCTTCGTTGAACAAATATCCCTGTCACTTACAAGTGCGTTGAAAAGCTCAAAGCTGTACTTGACACACCCATGTTCTTCATTGAGGATGTAAGGCAGAGACTTCAGTCACAGTTTAAAACAGCATATTTATTAAACCATCACACTAAATGAGATTGGACGAGGCCACATGACCAATGTGAATGTAGCCAGGTGCCATCTTGGATAGCCTTAGTTGGATATACACAAGAAAACTGGGGAGAGGGTCAGTTGTTTTTCTGTTCTTTGCTCAGCCATGGATTTTAAAAAACCACGTTCAGAACGGAAAGCACCGTGATAACTGAATGCTCTAAAAGGTTTCTCTGTTACAGACTGCAAGGGTGAACATATTTTCAGTTTGGCAGCTGCCACAGTTCTGATAATTTAAAAAGGCATGTGTGTAAATATGTTTGTTTCTTCTGCTTAAAGGTGTGTTTTCATCCGTGTGCATTAGCGTGTCTGGTGACAGTCCCGGCCCTGTTTCCAAAGATGGAGAGGCGGCCTGTGCAGTGGAAAGTGCCGGGCTTTGGCCTCCCACGGGGTTCCATGAGAGATTTTAAATGTCTTGATCCCCAGTTCCCCTTTACCTGAAAGGGATGATCAGCTTGGCTTTGTAGGAGTGCTGTGGGCAATTAGCACACAGTGCCTCCCTGGGGTCAGAAGAATGACAAAGAAAATTGCTAGAACAGCAGAGCCTATTGGGGCTTAGAGTGAAGCAAACATTTCACAGCAGAATACTAATGGCGTCTAAACCTGGGTTTCTGAATTGCCGAGAAAAGGTCATATATTCCGTTTCTGTGCATACATAGTTTCATGCTTAGGATTTATTTTAATAAAGCCGATTTTAAGGGAATAAACTGTTGAGGGTGCTCTGTGAGCAGTGGGATAATACTCTGGAGGCCCCCGTGTGATGGAACTGTTAGTTCTGAGTAGGAACCTTTCACCGTGGCCATTTCTCCAGTCTGAGATACTCAGAATTTAAATAATTCTTTATCCATTGAAGTAAGATCTGCTTTCTGTAAGAAGAGGAATGCACTGGGTTTTATATTAGACGGCTTCCCCTACAAAATGAACCTTTCCGCCCATCATGTACTCTGAATTTCAGAAAGGGATCTCTCGCGATCCGAAATTCAGATTAGAGAAACAAAACGTAAACAGCCTAAAGAGAAGCTACAATCTATTGCGATGTTCGCCGGATAACGTGGACCTTTCTCTCTTTCAGTTCATTCAGTGTGTCATGAGTGTTTAAATCAAGAGGAAGCTGTATGAACAGAACCAACATTCCGACTGGAGTTCTCCTTTGCTCTTACCCTTTGCCTTCGGTAACGTGTGTAAACTTGCGGTGCCGTTTTTCCTTAATAGCTGTCATAAAGGTTTACTCCTTGCTGTACAATAGAAGTTTTTGGTATTGATAATAAACTCTTTGGGATTTTACAAATAGAAGGTCAGGTCTCTTAACACCATTTGGAACTTCCTTGAGACTTGGTCAGTGATGCTTATCTTCTGGCTAAGCCTCTTTTATGTAAATTTCGGTGTGCAAAATGTTTAAGTCACATGGTATATTTTTCACTGTAAGATTCGTAAAAATCTTCTCTTCATCAGACTACAGCTCCTGTCTCTTCCTAGAAGAGCTTTCATATGGTATTAAAAGCTTTATGCATGCAGTGTTCTTATCATGTAAATGATTTATACTCACTTGGATGCAGACAGAAACAAAAACCCATGGTAATCCACGTCAGGGTTCGCTTTAGCGGAAACTCAGCACCGGCATTTTCAGGCTCACACATTTTTGATGGCCACATCATTGTACAGGGAACGTAAGTGATGATTTTCTCCTAAAAACCCACTGAATCAGTTGTGTGGCAAATACGATCTGTCGCCAAGTTCTTCTTTGTCATCATCCACCTAGACCTTTGTTAGCTCTACTTAAAAATCTTACAAATTACGAGCTTTGCGATGTAAAAAAGAAAACTGATTTAAAAAAAAAAGAAAACCTAAGGGAATGTAGGAAAATATTAACTATGGTCATTTTTGGCTTACGAGATTCCAGGTGACTGTAATTTCCTTTATGGTTTTCAGTACCTTCCAAGTTTTCTATGCTGTGTGCGCTTTCCTGTTAAAATCAGAAGATGATAATGTTTAAAATACTGATCGGTCCATTTCGATATGCCATGTGTTCACACTCACATTAAAAGATACTACACAGCAAAAGGACCGGACTGAGAGGACCACGATGTTGGTGCTTCCACCAGTGGGAGTCAGGGTCAGGAATTGCTTTTCTTCCTTCCTCCTACTCTTCCAAATACCCTCTGATAAACGTATTACACTTGTAGTGGAAGGCTTTTTTTTTTTTTCTTACTATTTTTAAGCCATGTGCTTTTAAGATCTGGATTCTCATCCTGGCTGTGCCTCTTCCTGAATAATGTGATTTAATGATCTCAGATATTCTCAGAGCCTCAGCTTCCCCATCTTCGAGAAAGAGGTTAATGCTTACTTCATGGGGTGGTTCTCAATATGATAAAACGTGCTGGTATAATAAGCACCAGTAATGTTTCTGTTTGTTAAATTTAAAACTGGCCTGGTTTGCTCTTTTTTGCAAGAGCGTAACAGATGAAACCGTGAAATTCGCCTCTTTTCTCCCTGCCAGCAGATTATGTGTCTTACTTCAGGACACAGTGTGAGCGTTACCATTCAGATGATCAGTTCGTTGTCAACCAATGAAAAAATAAAACATTTCTGAACATCTTCTGCCTCATTTCACTTGGTTATTTTTTTTCAAATATTGCTAAAATATATTAATTTCATAAGTATTCAACCTTAGCGTATGTATCCGTGTCAAGTATTCACACCTGGGCTGCATTATCAGACCATGAGGCAGCCTGCTTTCTGTTAGTGGTGACTCTGGGTTTCATTCCAGATACACTGTTTGTGAGGCCACAAAACTTGCTTGAGCCTGAGAGCTGTCCCACGAAGGGCCAGAGAGGACTCAGGACAAGGAGGGAGGGGACTCACCCTCAGAGTCCCAGCACCTGCCGTTGGCTTCCGACTCACCAGAATCCCATGAGGAAGTGACAGTTTAAGGAAATGGTAATCCCCTGGGTGACTAATGTGGTAAGGAAGAAGGCCCTTGCTAGCCCAATGTTATGGACCATATTTGAAATATCCCACCGCTTTGGTTAAGTCCCAAGCTATGCTGCTGCATCAGTCTTGGTTCTGAATTTGCTTTTGGATAAATGCTGAAGTATCAACAAAACTGTGTCCCTGGAAATACTCAATTAATTCCATTTTAATTACTGATACCTCATAGCAAGGCTCCTTATCTCCTCCACTTCTGCTTTCACGGTTTCTTTCTCAAAGCATGGAGCCTAGTTTTCAGTATGTCCCTGCCCTTAGAAAGTTTCCTTCCCCTTGACAAATTTGACATATCCGTCCCCTTTAATTACAGCCAAAGTCTTCATTACAAGTGAATCTCGGGTTGCCCCATTTCTATTTTATGTTGGGTTCTGTGTTTCATTCATTATATACTTTCAGTGCAGCCTCACCCAATTCTTAAAACTGTTTCTTGGTCTATTCTTCTTAAAGCATCTAGCTGGAGCATGGTCAAGCTGTGAGCCCAAGCTGGACTACTTCAGTTATTTGGAGATTTAAGTTCCTCAAAAAATGCCAACTCAAAGCTTTAATTTTAATTTTGGCGATGTGTGCTTTTAGTCCTGTGTTGCAAGAGATAAAGTACCTATATGTAACCCTTTTCAAGCACTCCGTAGGGATGTGGCTGCAGGAAGCCAGGTGCTTCCTTGAGGACAACTGGCATAGATTTGCACCCCAGCAGTCCTATAGGATTCATCACAGCCTGCACTCCCGCTGAGCCAAAGTGGAAGGGGACTCCCTTTTCAGCATGATGTTCCAGGTGCTGCCTTTGGTCCATGAGGGGCAACGTGAGCTAAAACTTCTGCTATCCCAACTGACTTTGCTTTTCTTAGCTGAGTGTCTTACTGTTTCAGTGTTCACCTGAATTATTCTATGCCTAAAATGTTATAAGAAATGCAGCTATATGTAATCAAATTTTTTTAAATCTCATAATAAACATACAAATCCTTAGTCAATGACTTCTCTTTTTCTCACGTTAAAACAAACAGTACTTTGACGACCTGTAACTAATTTTGTCCTCAGCAGGCTGTGAGCTGAAGACAAGAAAACTAAGGGCCAAGGTGAAGACCAGAGGATGAAATGGGTGTGTGAGAGGCAGACAGCTGGGTGGACCAGTTTTTTAGGCAGTAGACTCATGAAGCTAGGCGGAGTCCGTCCAAGGCCCGATGCTTTAGAGTCTGACATGGGTTGAGCCGCCGCCGGGGCTCTCGGTCAGGATACAGGAAGCGGATCCATCGGGGGCCCGGGAGGAAGTGCCTATGAGGCAAGGCAGGAGACTCGGCCTGCCACCCAGCTGAGGAAATTGTCCAACGGAGTGAGCGGCCAGCCTTTGCTAAAGGGTCTCTTGTTTCTCATCATGCTGATGGGCCCTTCCCGGACAGCGTGGACGAGAAAAAGAAGAAACAACCCCCTAACATAGTACCTGACAGGCTTCCTAAAGACAAACGGTGACAGGGAGAACAACAGGATTGAAGGGAGCCCGGCATCAAAATAACATAAAATCTTTTATTGAAAGTCACTTCATTGGTGTTACAATGACAGTAACATAGAAAACTGTGGTATCTTTTCAGCTTCAGAAGTGAGTTACTAATAAAATGGTGCCAGAAATTTGAACAAGTTACAGCGACCTTTAAAAACAGTAAGATTTTGTTTACCTACAATATAAGAACAACTTGATAACTTGAACAGCCATAAAACACATCATGCCTGCTCAGGAAAGCAGTTACCATATACATTTCAGTTGGTGATTGCCCAAACCCAGTTACCTTTAAAATAGCTTAACCTGAAGTGCAGAGGAGCAGAGAGAATATATTAAAATGAAGCCAATCTTAAGTATATACACAGGATCACCTGGTTACCAAAAGTGAAATCATGCTGCTATTGACATTTGCCCACGAAGTGGCTTCCACTCTGTAAATGGGTATCACCCCTTAGAGATGACGGTTGCGGGCAACACTAACGCAGACCTACCTTGGCTAACCTATAAACTGCTATGTTTAGGTAGAATGCCCAGTTTCTAAAAGAAGTTGTCTTTTGGGGGATGCTAGATTGGAGGGGCACGTGTCTTCCAGCAGGTTAAAAAGGGACATACGTGCTTAGTTACCCTGAATAAACCTTTTGTTAAGCACTTTTGAAGTTAGTGTTAAAAAAAAAAAGTTTTCCATATAAAACAAAGGTGTTGGGTCATTTTTGCCCATTAAAAAGACCAGCTGTAGAATCACAGTCGGATATTGTGCTGGATTAGAAAAGAAAAGTGGGGTTTCTAATCAGGCAGTGATATACATGTATAATTTAGCAAGAATTCTTGGCATTATTACTGAATAAATTATTAATTCATATCAGCACTTTCCATAATGTGTCATCTGGTATAACTTAGCACCGCTGTGTTTAAAGATTTGGGGGCTAGTCACATTATTTTAGAACTTGAACATTAGAACACAAAAATCCACCTCTGAAACTTTAACTGGAGAGGAAACTGTCCTTCATAAACTCTTTGACAACTTTACTGATGATTTTGTAAGTGCCTTAAGACCGCCCGTCTCATTGTATGCCTTTTTCTAAAAAACAAAAACACCCTACATTTTCCCTGGTTTTGATTTCAGAGAGACCCGAAAACACGAAATGATGCCGTGGAGCAAAACTCTGCCAGCCTTGCTTGAAGCACCTCTCAGTACAATACAGGTTTTACGAATGACGCAGCAGGGATGCACCAGGCAAGAATGACTGGCCCATCCTGGACTGGCCCATTGAGTATTTATAGAGCCAACCACTCAGGAAAACTGCAAAGCTCATGGGTCTATTGCAGGCACTCGAGTAGCCCCCCTGTCTCCACCGCACCCCCAGTAACCACCTTCTGCACGCCTGGCTTCTGAGTTCATGCACGTCTCCATTCTGCTCCTATGCCAGGACTAAATGCCCCATGACCTCCCAAGGCTTGCTTCCTATCCCCTCCCCATCCTGAAACACACCTGAGGACCAATCTCTCTCTGAAGTTGCATAATCCACGCCCAGTTGCCAAAGGGAGGAGACTAAAGGTGCCTCTCTCCCCCCTATTCTGCGCCCCTGTGGTTCTCCCCAGTGCCAGTTTAGCTGGGAAAAAAAGGGACTTACCTCCATGACAGTGACAGTTCCTAGTCAGAAGAAAAGGGCTGACAAGCTACTGGTGGGGAACAACGTGGGAAGTGGGAAGGGTCTGGAAGCATCTCTCGAACTCCATAGAGAGGATGCTTACTGTTCGTCAGGCCCTGGATATAAAGGACAAAAATACTAGGCAGGTTCTTGTTTTTGAATGTTTTGTTTTTCTACTTATAAACTGAACCAGATGGCACTCCATTTTGGGGGCTCTGACAAAGCCATGAATAAAATGTGGACAGAAATATTATGCCCTGATTTGTAAAGTCTGCATCCAAAATCAGAGTAGTTTTATCCATTCAGAAAACAACTGAGGGGAAAAGCAAAAAAACTGAACCTCAAATTAAGCTCTATTCCATACAGATGTTTGCTTCTTATATATATTTAAGCTAGCAGAATGAGAAATTCACCTTGACTCCACTGAACAACAATAAAAACGTGGGTGACGGTTTTAGGGGATCACCTAAGAAGTGAAAGGAAAAAGACCATTAGGACCCTGAAACGTAGACGGTACGCCCGCCAATGCAAGTCAGAGCATTTCCTGGAAAACTGATGGGAACTTACTGGTAGGGTGGCATTTCTAATACGCTGCGCATGGGAGCGCCCTTGGCAGTGGCTAGCAGTGGTGTCCTGGTCAGGCTCTGGCTGCGATGGGCTGGCCATTCTTCGTCCCTTCACTCCCATCATGCGGTGACACATCTCTGTGCCCCCTGGCCACTTGGCATCCTCCCAATGAACTACCCTTCCTTCACGTAGAAGTAGAATAAAGTAAAATAGTCTTCTCTTCAGGTAAGGATTTATTATCATGTTGAACAACACAAGGGAATATTTAAAAACACTAAATATATAGGTTAAAACAGAACTACATGACAACAGGAAATGGAAAGATGGATGAAATAAATAAACAAGCTTGATTTCAAAACACTTAAAGTGAGTAAAAATACCGTATTTCCTCTGGCCCACAGGTAATTATAAGAAGTAAAGAACAAAATCTAAAAAAGCAAAAGGTAAAGTAGCCACAAGAGATCTGGAACAATGGGCAGGAATAAATTATGCAAATCTGCAAGGGAATCAATGGAAAAAAAAAAAAGAAATGTAAGGCTGTTATGAAATTCAAATATATATAGTCCCTTTTTGGAAGTGCACAAAAGATCTAATTTTATCAGCAACTTCTTTTAGAAACCCTATCAATCTTATGTTCAGAAAGCTACACTAGACTGACTTTATATATAAAGACAATTTTAAAAGCCTTTTTAAAGCAAGGGGAAAATGAGAGAAACTGTAGTACCACTTCATAAAGCACCTATCTCAAACTAAAAAGTATGTTTGGCAATTTAACCCTACATTTACTTTATTAGTCAATTTTTTTTTTAAGGAACATCACTGGGTTTCTTATAGAGCAACGACACTAAATTGAAAACTCTCGTTATGCTGCAGTTTGAGTTTACTCCTTTCCACAGATTTGC